AGTCCTCTGTGAGCGGAGGACAAGGACCTCAGGATGGATATAAACACATCCTCACATCGTCACATCCTCTGCCTACACATTAGCCATGCTAAACGTCAAGAAAACAGATGACTTTCAAACACAGAAAGGCAGTGGTTGTCGGGGTGTGTGCCTGTGGGTGTGAGTGTGCTTCTGTGCATGTCTGTGTGTGTGTGTGTGCATGTGCGTGTGTGTGTGTGTGTGTGCATGTGCGTGTGTGTGTGTGTGTGGAGGAGGGGACGTCAACTGGCTACTGCTCCTTAGCTTGTTTCCAAGAGATAAAAATGACAGCTGTTTGGTTTACACAGCTAATTAACCTGAGGAATGCACTGTGTAAGACTGTTATGAAGGCAGCTGGGTAATTAAGTTTTTCCCCAGAAAGGGAGGGAGTGGGAGATAAATAAAGCATTTAAGGGAACAGACACAACATTGGAGAAGACATTGTCAGGAGCAGAAATCAGGGCTGGAAAACTTCCTGGCGAAACCCACTGGTTCCCAGGGAGCGTGCACCAGCCCAGAGATGACTGAAGGTCATGGCTCAGCCTCTGCCAGCACCCACCTGACAGAGACAATGGCCAACCCTCAGGGTCACATACAGCCCAGCCAGAAGTTGGCAGAGATGTTAGAGCTGAACAAACAAAGGCTGACTAACCCAACTCCTTCATTTCATGAATGGGGAAATGGTGGTCTAGACAGAAACCATGACCTTCTTGAGGTCACGTTCCTATTTTAAGTGTCAGAGCCAGGACCAGACCTAGAGAGTCTTTACCCCCAGTCGGGTGACTTCATTAACCACGACCACTTCCAGATTTCCCAGCAGCCCACCGCAAATCAGATGGGCAGCGGTCACCTTGGAAGCAGAAAGTGGGCTGGCCCAAGGGCAGTTTGATTTCAATAAGTATGCGAGGGCTTCCCTGGTGGCACAGTGGTTGAGAGTCCGCCTGCCGATGCAGAGGACACGGGTTCGTGCCCCAGTCCGGGAAGATCCCACATGCCGCGGAGTGGCTGGGCCGGTGAGCCATGGCCGCTGAGCCTGCGCGTCAGAGCCTGTGCTCCGCAACAGGAGAGGCCACAGCAGTGAGAGGCCCGCGTACCACAAAAAACAAAAACAAAAAATCAATAAGTATGCGAGTGTGTGTCCTGATCCAGGAAGAAGATCCAGGAAGAAGAGCTCAGGAGCATGATTCACAGATGCGGAGGCCCCTGCAGGCGGACACAGGTCCCCGGGAGGTGGGGAGAGGGGGATGGGACATTTAGCATCTTCCAGACACCAGCCCAGTGGTCACTTGGCTTCTTCCTTTATACAGTCCTCACAACAACTGTTTGAGGTGGGTGCTGTCATTATTCCTATTTTTCAAATGAAGAACTAAGGCTCAGAGGAAGCACAGACGAGAATGAGGGTAGGGAGACATCACAGACATTTTCATTCATGCCTTGGGTTTTAGGGAAAAACGGTGCAGTGAGTTTACTCAGAGGTTACCTAGGAGCTGGAAGAGAGAGAGCCAGGGGACAGGGTGGGACTGCAGCCTCGGGCCATTTTGATAAAGTCCAGCCTGGGTTCAAGCCTGGACAGTTAACGGGTAGTCAAGGCAGGTAGGCCCAGAAGGGCAAAGCTGGGTTGGGGTGGGCACACAAGGCAAAGCTGGCCGCGTCGTATGTCCATTGTCAAGGCTGCAATATGGACCCAAAACCCATAGAAGCCGGCCCTCAAGGCCAATAGGATTGAGCCAGTGAGACAAAATTAGGCAGAAGAGGTGACATACTAACAGGCTAAGATTGACCCACGAGAAAGGAGCCACACTCTGAGATCAGGAGCTGGGAGAGACAATTTTGGAACAGGAAGGAGTCCCCACTGCTCCTGAGTTTCTTCAGGGTTGGCAGGGGGCAGCGAGCAAGGCTAAAATGTCCAAGAGTCATAAATCCCTAATGCACTTACATTCATGCCATACCAGTAGGCAGGCAGGCAACAGGTGCTGGGTGATTTTTACTGGGCTCAGGGCTCACCATGTCACCCCTGCATGAAAATAGAACAGAGGCAGTAACCAGAGGCTATGACTTAAGGAAGGTATGTATGTGGAGGTGGGAGCTGGTAGACAGGGATGCAGGGGGACTGAAGGGGCAGGCCCTAGGAATGCAGCTCTGCACCATGCCACCTTCCCTTCCAGCTGAGGCTGGCCACTGCACCCCCATCTCTAACTACTGAGAAAACTCAATACCTATGTGTTTCCATCAGAAGTTTGGGGGTCCCAGCACACACCCAAACTTTCCCAATAGCTCACAGGGATAATAAGAGCCACCTGATGGAGTATTGTGAAAATTAATTGAGATAATTTATATAAAACTCTTAGTATAGTGCCTGAGACATATAATATGTGCTTAATAAGTTATAGTTACTATAATATCATTTAATAATAAAATAAACTTAAAAACTGAAATTGGAACTCATCAGAGTTAAATCTGGATTCCTAATTTTCATCACACAGCTGCCCCTGCACCAAGTGAGGGTTCAGGGTACACCTGTACAGAGGGGTATCTGTGCCTTTAGCGTGTGTCTTCACTGTTGGCAACCAGTGGCCTCTAGGTGGTTAGGTGGGGAAGGGAGAAGGAAAGAGAAATCAGAAAAGGCAGAGAGGAGACAGGTGGGGGAGAGAAGTTGGGTCTCAGCAGGCAGCTCATTCCCAAAGAAAATTGGAGCAAAGAGCGACCCTAAAGACCATTTCTCTAACACTCATTCATGGAAGAGGAAAGCAAGACTTAGAGAGGGGTAATATTTTGCCCAAGATCGCACCACAAGTTAGTGGTAGACCTGGGGCTACACACTGCACTCAAGATGCCCTATCCTCCACTCTTCCAAGAGGTTACATGGATTTATTCCCCCTCATAGAAAAAGGAAGAAAAGAACCAATGCTTCTCAACTTTCACAGCACCAAAATAGCTGAGATTTATCCATCCCCATGGTTTCAAAAGTCTAGACTTCTCTTTTGCAAGCACCCAGTTTTTCTCTCAAGGGGCTGCTTAAGAGCAAGGGAAGCAGTTGGCTCCCTGGGGCATTTGAGAGAGGCAGAGGGCAGGTCAGGATGAAGCCAAAAGCCCAGCCTAGAGGGAAAGAGGCTGTCCAGACAGGGCTGTGGCCGAGGAACATCCCAACACAGGGGATGTGTATGATCTCTCCTTGCTTCCCATCCCAGAAGACGGATCAGCCCAAGGAAGGGAATCAGCAGAGGACTCCCTGAAAATTTTAGACATGGCTCAGTGGCACAAGATTGGAGAATGTGTGGGAAGGCAGCAACTAAAACCATTCTGTTGCCTAGAAATTCAATACTGCCAGGTCTCCTGATGCTTGTGGAGTAATCTGGGCTCACAGGGAGGACTCGCCTGATGCTGGCCATCTTACCCAACACTGTCAAATGGGCTTTCCCACATCCAAGTGGGTGAGATGCAGAAACCACAGCCATCTCTGCTCAGCACCTCCAAAGCCACTATGCAGTACCACCTATGATTAAAAAGTGACCAAAAGAACACTGGGGACTGGAAGGACAGTGAGGCCAGAGATGGGATCAGATACCATCTCCATGGTCCTGAGGACAAGGACCCAGAAGGAAGAAACCACAGACAACCCAAGCCTCCTTCATGGCCATTAATCTCTCTCACTCCCTTTCTCTCTCTGTCTTTTTACCCCAAGAGAAGCAGAGGCTCAAGGGAAAACCACTCCCTCACTCTTCCCTTTGTCCAAACCTGTGTTTTGAGGGCAGAAAAATGGCCAAATGAGACAGGCAGCTGGGAAACAAGAAAACACTGAGTGATTTCCACCTTGGTAAACACAAGGAGCAAGGAAAGACCCCAACCTTGTTGAAGGGAAAAGAAAAGAAAATCAAAGTTCCTACCAGAAAGGTCCAGAGGCAAAGTAGAAGAAGAATCACAATGGATCTTTGAAAAAAATCAGTTGCCTAAACGGGTGATAATAATTGACGTAGGTCAAAGAGTTCCAGTGCCTGGATTTGCTCAACTCGTTTCCTATCAGCTGAGCCACTGAACCTCCTTGCTAGCCTCAAGTCACTTCCTTGTTTGTCTCACTGATCTGTGCCCTTTAATTTGAATATTTCCCCAGCGCAGGGCGGGGAGGGATAAATTAGGAGGTTGGGATTAACAGATACACACTGCTATATATAAAACAGATAACCAACAAGGACCTACTGTATAACACAGGGAACTATGTTCAATGTCTTATAATAACCTATAATGGAAAAGAATGTAACTCAATCACTTTGCTATACACATGAAACTAATACAACATTGTAAGTCAACTATACTTCAAAAAACATTTTTTTAATTAAAAAAAATTCTACAAAAAAAAGTCTCCCATTTCTCCCGGAGTGGTGAAACATGTGGACCAAACATGCAGAGGCTGAGAGGTAAGTCATACGTGATGACTGCAAAACATAGAAGGATAAACTCCAGCCTATAATCATTCGGTAGCTCCAGCCACACCCTTTCCCCAACACTAGCCAAAGAGATGGCAGCAAGGGAGGGGCCATGGCACAGCTCGGTTCCCCCTTCAGCAAGAACACAAGCCTTGCACACATCCCAGCCTCTGTGCTCCAGCCTTGACGCTGTCCACCAAAGATGGCGCCTTACACTCCACACACCTAAAGGATCCCCATCTATCTGATTGCTTATTCCCGAGACTTGGAAAACTGTCCTGCCCAGGCCCAAGGGCTGAGAAAAACTCCAGCTTTATCAAGCAAAAGAGAGAAAGGAGCTATTCCGCTAGTTCTGAGTACATTTTCTCTTGCCCAACAAAGGTGAAAATTCCTTAGAGGCAGAGATCCGGTCTTAATGCTTTTCTTGCACTCCCCACAGCGCGTGGATCTAAGCTGATAGCAAGTCCACTCTAAGTATTCAGTGAACAGATGGCAGGCTTCCCCACCCCCGCCCCAGCTCACCTTCTTCCAGCCCCCGGAAGCCATGGAGGAAGAGCCTACCTCTCCATACTGGGTGCAGTAGGTCTCAGGCTTGGCCAGACCACAGGTAGATGAAGCTCGGAGAAACCGGGTCCTCCCAATGAGCAGGTCCCCAACGGGTGGATAGCAGGCCCCACGGGAGCAGGCTTGCTGGGCACACAGGACGCTGGGCAAGACTGAAATCACAGGGGGTACAGGGGTGCAGCCTAGAGAGAAGAGGGTCTAGCCGGCCACCCCAGTGTGCCTCCGGGAAGCCGACGTCGATCGGCAAGAATAGACCCTCTTCTCCACCTTCTTCATGCTCCCACCTGCTGGTTGTGGGAATAATCGCAATCCTGATGCTGTTTGCTAAAAAAGGTGATTTTATAGCCTGTAGCCCCCAATCTAAATAGAAAGGAGAAACACTGACAACTAAAAAGCCCAGATCATCCTGAAATGTAGCATCCACATGTGGCTTTCTAGAACAGAGCTGCAGTCACACGCTCAGCCACCAGGATATGGCCCACAACTCTTCTCACCTGCAGCGTGGCCTCTGTCAACAGCCCAGAGTAGCGCTGGCTGCTGGCTGTTTGTGGAGCACTGGGAGATACCTGCGTTCTGTCTGCTCCTTTATCTGTAAAGGTGACCCTGCCATGCTTTGGGAGTACCCAGCTGCAATTCACTGAGCATCAAGAACTCAAGCCATGATGGCTCTGGGACCAGCTTGAGAGTGACAGGATGGGAAATAAACCATGCAGGGCACTGGGGGAGCCACAAACCACCCTCAGGTAGCAAGAAGACATTTGGGAGCCTCTCAAATCATCTTCTTCAAAGGCCCCCAGGACAGAGAAACCTCATGGACATCCCGGTAGACAAGTGTCCCAAACCCAAAGGCCCCAGGGTGACCGGTGATGCTCACACTGTGGTAGACCGTCCTCCTACCCATGGCTGTCCCCTCCCTGGTATATGAAAGCACCTGGAAGGATGGGAAGGGATACTTACCAAAATACAGGAGAAGGAGCGGCCTCATCTTCAGTCAATGGGATGATCCCCACCCAGGACCTCACCTGGAACAGAGCAAAGGAGCCTGGGTGAAACCATGCACATCCCTAGGGTGCACCAGCCCTTTTCTGTTTCTGGACTCATGTTTTCTCAGAAGCCTTTACCTAGGGTCTTGACCTAGGACACTTCTGAGCAGCAGGTGCATCTGTAGCCAAAAACTTGGAAAATGCCAGAGACCTGGCCCCCGTCCCAGCTGGCATGTGACTCCCAGGGTGCCCTGGGATAACGCCACCCCCTCCCTGACTCCAGCTTCCCCCTCTGAAATAGAGAGGAGGAGGATTGACACTGCCCTACCCCACATGGTCAGAAGGACAACGTGGGGAGCAGGAAAGAGCTGGACCCTTTGCAGGAGAAGTCCGGGGCCTTGATGCCTCCCCAGGAAAGAGAAGTGTCCTTTCTCAGGGCCTGGCCCACCTACAGGCACAACGATGAGTGGGTCAAAGAGGCTGAGGACCTGGAGCTGAGCCCTCTCCTGCTATTGGCATGGTCTTTGGTACCACACAGAGCCACCCCAAGAGTGAGGCCGTGGTGGCCACATCTCTGGGCTGAGCATGATGGAAATGATGGAAAGGCAGGCCTAGCAGTCTTTAAAATTGAGTAAGCAGAGGAATGGATAAAGAAGATGTGGCACATATACACAATGGAATATTACTCAGCCACAAAAAGGAACAAAATTGGGTCATTTGTAGAGACGTGGCTGGACCTAGAGACTGTCATACAGAGTGAAGTAAGTCAGAAAGAGAAAAACAAATATCACGTATTAACGCATATATGTGCAATCTGAAAACACTGGTATAGACGATTTATTTACAAAGCAGAAATAGAGACACAGATGTAGAGAACAAACGTATGGATACCAAGGGGAAAGGGGTGCGGTGGGATGAACTGGGAGATTGGGATTGACATATATACACATATATACACTATTGAGACTATGTATAAAATAGATAACTAATAGCACAGGGAACTCTACTCAGTGCTCTGTGGTGACCTAAATGGGAAGGAAATCCAAAAATGAGGTGATATATGTATACGGATAGCTGATTCACTTTGCTCTACAGTAGAAACTAACACAACATTATAAAGCAACTATACTCTAATAAAAACTTTAAAAAAGAAAATTAAAAAAAAAAAGTGAGTGAGGATTTCATCTGAACTGGAAGCAACCCAAAATGTCTCCAGTGATGGGCTGGGGTTGTACAGGAGACATGGGGGTTGGGAGGCCACAGAACAAGGATTCTGAAGGAGGCTAGGGGTGGATACTCAAAGGGTCCTAGAGGCAAATGCCCCACCCTGTTCATGCAGCGCCCACCTCTACCTTGCATCAGATGCTCACTCTGCTCCAATGACGCCCCAAAACTCCTCTGGCTGGGATGGAAGGATGGGGGGTTGGAAAGGCAGGGGCAAGGGGGGACCAGGGACACTCCTACATCTTTAAATCCTATATCCTAACACTTCAAAATCTTTCCTTCCAATCCCCTACCAGAGGAGTCAGGGGCCCAGGAAAGAGACAGGTGGCCTGAGGTCACACAGCCAATTGGGGCCTAAGAGGGAGACCCATCTTCTGGCTTCCTCCAGCGCTATCTCTGCTCTCCCATCCAGGGGCTGGAACCACACCCACACCCAGAACTAGGCATTCTGGGCAGACCTTAGAAGAGCTCTAGTGGGGCCAGCCCACCCTCTCCTTGTCTCTTTGTGTTCAGCCCCAGCTCTGAACCTGCTTTCTTCTAAGTCACTGAGATGCTTATCAGTTGTGAAAAAGAAATCCAAACAGTGGCAGACATTAAACCTAGCCTTTGGGTCTTAGCTGGCTCAGCTGAGTTCCCAGGAAGAGGAATGAATCAGGCCCTGCAACCAGGCCCCAGACACCCAGATACACAACGCTTGTCCCGCATCCGGCCCCCACCAGGCAGGTGAAGGCAGGTAACGTACCTCACTCCGTGCTGCCGTGGTTCTTTCTCCAGATCGCCTCTCTGAGAGCGCGCCTTGAATGTGGGAGTCCCCTCTCCTGGCTCCTAGGTTTTAAACAACTGGCCTCACCTCTGGAGACGTCCTGGCTGGGCGTCACCAACTGCAGGGCGGGACTCAGGAATCCGGCAGCTGGCACGCCCATCTGTAGTCATGCACCCTCACCCTCACCCCCAGACAGGACTGGGCAGGTGGGTCGGTCCCAGAGGCCTAACAGCAAGCTCGGCAGCACCCGCCTGCCTGTGGGTGCCTTGTGGGGGGAATGTTAGTGATCTTTGGAGACCAGGATTCCTGGCAGAGGGGTGGGGGGTGGGGGAAGGACACTGGCATTTGTGACAGGCACTGCACTTGGTACTTTCCCAAGGCCCGTAGAGGTCAGCCTCCTCTGGTGTCCTGGACCACCCTGGACAGAAGACCAAGCAGAGAACACAACAATCAGGGCTTCTATATAAGGTGTTATAGCCCCAGACCGGTCACTGAGCTGGAAGGGAAGAAGATGCAAACATCCAGGACCCTGGAAAGCACCAGACCCCTCCCAAGGGAAAACAAAAAAATGGAAAATCCCTGCTTCTTGGGGGATTAAAACGCTATGGTTCATCAGGAAGGGGTCAAAGCCCAACTCACCCAAGAAAAGCTTAAGAGGAATAAACAGGAATGAACTCTAAATATCTCCCTTCAGGCTCCCTCGCAGCCTTGGCAGGGAGCCCAAGGACAGGTAACTACCTGTGAGTCATGGCTCTCAGCTCAGGAAGGGCTGCTCTCCTAGCCCCTCCCACCCTGGGCAAGAATGCCTGCCTGGAGGGCCAGAAAACAGACCTGACCCTCCTAAGGGATGGAAAGGAAGGCTGAGGTATAATTGGACCAACTTCCCCTGACCTCCTGCCAGGCCTGAGAACACAGCTTCCTTTGTAGGACCCTGGGCGTGCTCCTGGCTTACGGCTTTGGGCTGAGAGCTTCTGTAAATGGCCCATATCAAGGGGTTGGTCTTGGAGGACAGTCTTCCCCCCAGGTTAGGGTCAGAGGGCTTTTAGAGACATCTGGAAGGTCACCCAGTTCAGATCTTGGCCCCAGAGAGCCTACACTGGCCTTGTTTGGACATTATTGCCTCAAAGTTTCCATTTAAAGGAGACTCTTAACGAGCCAGTCCAGCCTGTCAGTGTCTCCTCAGCAGGAAATTCTCTACAATTGAAGGGTTAAGTCCAAGAAACTGGTTTGAGAACGCTTAAGGGGGGAACGTAGGATTTTGTGGATTAAACGGTAACCTGGGCATTTCTAACCCTCAGATTCTAATGTAGCCCAAGAAGTTTAGATGGGCAGGAAAAATACTATAATTAGCAAATGGGCAATAAGTTGTTTGGATGCAAACGGACATTCCATTAAATGTTCGTGTCTTGACCCTTGTAAACATTCCAGTGAAATGTGGCTTAATGAGCCAGGATCAGTAGCTGGCCCTCCTGGGCCCTGCTTCTGCAGTAAGAACACAGACACACACCCCTCCAGTCCCCCACAGGGAAAGGTTACTGCTCACACCCTCGAGCTTTGAGCCCACCCATCTATTCTCTTTCTCTCCAACTCTCCAACTCCCTGAACGCAAGGCTTCCAGGAAGCTTGCCCCTCATGGGGCTGTCCATCCTCTGCCCACCACCAGGAAGAGGATGTGACAAAGAACTCATGAATAGTTAACTCAGTAGAAGCAAAAGCCGTTGCGATGCCATATCCTCAGACAGGTGGGGCAGGAGTGCGATGGGAGGCTGGGCCCTTTAAACCCCCCTCCTCCTCTCCCATTATGAGGCCAGGAGCCCAGGTAAATAGCTATCTCAGACTTCACAGGCTGGGGCAGGTCCCAGAGCAGTTTGGCTTCGCAGAGGGAAAGGCAATTGCTCTGTGTGGGCTCGTCACCCCACCCCCGCGTTCCCGGCCAAGTCCAGGACTTTGTTTCTGCAGACCTCAGGGAGGGCCCAGCCAGCCCACTCCTCAGGACACTTAGCACTCCCCAGTGGGAATCTAGTCCCCCCAGGACTGCAGGGCCCCAGGCACAGGGTTTGAACTTCAGAGACAAGAAGCCTAATCTAGAGACAGAGCTAGAGTAGGACCTGGCCAGGGCTAAAGGCAAGATGGGAGCATTGCTCCAACACCATCCCCTGCGTGCCCCCTTCCTCTCCCACTGCCCGCCATCCTGCTCCAGAGCTCTGCACTCTCATTTCTCTCCGAGCCTTGGCTTGTTAGAACAAGGAAAGTGGTGCTCAGGAATGTGGCCCTCCTTGACCCTCGTTCCTCTCGTACCTACATCAATCCATCTGGCAATTCTGTTAGCTCCCCTTTCCAAAGGCAACCTGAATCCACTTCCATCCTCCTGGCCTGAGCCCGTCTACCCCAGGCTTCTGCAACAGCCCCCTAACTCCTAACTGTCTAGTCACACAACCAGGTCTTGTCACTCCCCTGCTCAGAACCCTGCACCAGCTCCCATTTCAGTCAGAGTCTTGAGGCCCCATGTGATCTGACACTGCCCGTTTCTTCACCTCTACCACTACTCTCCCCCCCAAATCCTCTCCCTCCAGCCACATGGCCTCCTTGTTCTGCCTCCAAATTACCAGGTTGCTTCTGAGTTAAGCCTTTTGCCCCAGCTGCTCTCTCTGCCTGGAACGCTCTTCCCCCACATTGGCAAGCCTACTTCTCTTACCTCTTTGAACTCTTTTTTCAAATGCTACCCTCTCAAGGAGGCCCACTCTGACCACCCTATTTAAAATGACAACAAACTTCCCTGCCCCTCCCTGTCCCCCACCCCTAGCATTCCCAACCCCACCTACCCTACATTATGGATGAGTTGTTTTGTTTTGCAATACTTACCAATTTCTAACCAACTATACAATCTATCTATTTATCATGTTTATTTTCTCTCCCCCCACTGGAATGTAATGCCCAAGAAGGCAGAGATTTTTGTCCATTTTGTTCACTACTATTTTCCGAGTACCTAGAAATAGTGTCCGGCTCATAGGAGGTGCTCAATACTTGTGGAATGAATGGATTCACACACTGTGGAAATCATTGATATAATTTAAAGAGTTCCTCATGCTGTGTAGGTACAGTTGCATTCTCAAAGGGGACAGTCTGGGCTTTTGCTCACCAGAATGGATGACTAATAGTGGAAATTCCTGCATCAGTCAACTGCAGAGGGCGGGGTGGGGAAGGTCTCTTTGGAGACACCTACCCCCAGATTACAGAAATGTACCATGTCAGTGCAGGCAGTCTCCCTCTCTGCCTGCTTGTCCGTTGTCCCTCACAATATCTCTGACGGGGGCGGGGGGGGGGGGGGGGCCTGAGAAGCTACCATCTCCATTTCCCATCTCTCAGGCTCAAACCATCCATGTTGCCAGGGAAATCAGCCAAGATCTGATCAACGAGAGATCAAGAGATAGGGAGAAAAGAAAGGAGGGAAGGAGGGTGGAAAGGAGGAGAGAGGTTGAGAAGTTAGGATAAGAGAACCTGGTCCAGGCTGCGGATGCCAAATCCCAGGTGTTGGAGGAAGGGGCGCCGGGTGACTAAGGCTTGGGCATCACCCGGATCCAGTGAGTCATGGCTGAGTCCTTGTCTGTGGGACTGGGTGGGCTCCAGGAAGGGTTCTGGGGATTTGTCACGTGACTAAAGCTGGCGTGTCTCCCCTTCTGCACAACCGCTCGGCTGCCCAGACAAGCGGTCACTCTTTGTGCACCTCTCCGAGCACCAGAGAGAGAAGGTGGGGCTTTATGAGCTCAGGCGGGAGCCCAGCCTCGGGTGGGGGCCAGGAGAAAGACAACGGGAGCCTGGGCTGCCATCATGGGATGACTCTATTCCATAGAGTCTGTCTCCCCCGACCCTCCCCTTCCCATCCTGAATGTCCATCCAACTGACAGCGGTGCACATCAGGCTGGGTCTGAGGTCTGGGAGAAAATCAGGCAGTCAGCCTAAACTAAGCACAGCTAACATTCTCTGGAGAGCTCGCAGTGTGCCAGGCACTGTTCTAAGACCTTTATACGTATTACCTCATTTAATACTCACTACATCTCTGTGCAGTAGACGCTTAGTTATCCTTCCTTTGCAGATTAGGAAAATGAGGCACACTTTCAAGAACTTGGTCCCAGCTAATACGTGGTCATTTGAACCCAGACCAGTTTGCTTGGCACTTATGTTCTTAACCATTACTTTGGGCCTAAGATGGCCTAAACTCCCTGCCTCCACCCTTGGTAATCCTTGACCAGAGTCCACTAGACTCTGAATTTTATGTTTCCCAAACCTAATCAAGACCCAGTAACTGTAAAAGGGTGTTTTTGGAGCACGAATGTCGACTGGAGACTCCTGGGGAGACACTGATGCTATAGAAACATGCAGAACAGACACCATTCGGTGCCTTCCTGTTTGTTTTCCATGTAGACAACCTCTTTTGTGTTGGAGATGGAGATGGATGGAGACGGTGCTGGCCTCCAGATGCCCCTTCTCAGAGACTCCAGCACATACATACCAGCAGGGTTTCCCCCTCATACCAACAGGAAGCTGCTCTGAGTGAGGACGTGAGCAACCTACAAGGGGTGGGAAGACAGGGGAGGTGACCAGAAAAACATCACGGAGAGCTGACAAGATTAAACAAAAAAGATTGAACATGATGACAGGATGACACAACTTCCCCTTCACCGAAGGAAGGGGATCCCCTCCCCAGAGGTCAGGCTTCTGGGTCAGGGGCCCCAGTTTCTTCTATCTCTTAGGTCCTAGGGTGCACCTCCAAATGTCACCTCCCTCCTGAGGGGAACTAACGCTGGCTCATGGCTCCCCAGAAAAGAGGGAGGAATATGTTGACTATTCTGCCACTTTCACTGCCCTCCCAAATCCCCGACCTTCCTGGGGGGACAGGCTGGCTCAGACCACACCCCCTCTCTACCATTGCCTCTGGGAACTAGCTTCTTGGGACCCAAGTCCAACCTCTGTAACCTTTGGCCACAGATTTGCCATGTGGAGCTGGCCATGTGGCCTGAGAGGAGAGAGACACACACCTGAAGGGGGCAACTTGTGGCCACAGGTGAGGTCAGGAGCAT